ATTAGTTCTGCTTGATGGTCTAAGACATAAGGCAGATTCAGCTCCATGTCTCCCATTACTATTACCTGAAAAGTTGAATGGACCATCCAGGCGCTGAGCTTGGGCTCTGGTGGTGAGCTTCCCACCACTACAGGGGTTCCCAGAGAGCCTTGTTAACCACTTGCCGAGCACGGTCAGAGCAGATGCTGCCCAGCACTGGCTCAGCTGAAAGTCTGACATTCTGGAACTCAGGGCCTGGGCACATAGGGGTTAATCCCAACTGACTGTGGCCATCCCAGGCAGCTCAGGCCCTTCGAGGAGTCCTTGAAACAAATGCCCATTGCCATGGGGATCCTGTCCTCTCCCTCTTACTCCACCCCTATGCAGCCTCCAGGGCCCAGTTTAAATACCACCTCCAACAGGAAACTGACTCTGGCCCAGCTTGATCTCTCCAGGCCCCACGGTTTAAGTGGGAGCCCGCAGCTTAGCTTGAGACCTCACCTGCAATATCTGCATAGAGCCTGTCCTGCAGTCGGGCCACTGACTCCCTCAGGCGCATTGCCTCATTCCTAGGCAGAGCCTGCCCATGGCCTTGGATAGAACATCCCTGCACCCACTGCCTACGCCCTGAGAGAACCTTTGTCCCCAAACAGAACTTGTTCTGATTGCCTCAGACCATCTGTGACTTTCTAGGAAAGTAGGCTCTTGTGGAGGCCAGCGGGCCTCGGGTTTTTGTCTTAGAGCCCAGACCAGCACTGGCACAGAGTATACACTTAATAAATTCTTATTGATTGATTGAAGGTGGCCTTCCACAATGTGCCCCATCTTTGTACACGGCCTCTGTGTCCCTGCACTCATACAGTTCCTGGGCTTCGAGCCAGTCCTACTCCCATTCCCGCCCATTGTTTGTCTTTGTTCTTGTCCCTCCCACACTGCCCACACCCATGGAGTTTGCCTTGGGTTATTATTTAGATTCTGTTCCTCTGTCTGTAGTCTGCCCTTGCCCCATGCCCATCCTCACAGACCTGGCCCCTGTGCCCATGCACATTATGCCTGTCCCCTCACAGACCTGGCCCCTGTGCCCATGTACATTCTGCCCCTCCCCTCACAGACCTGGCCCCTGGGCCCACAATGTCAGTTTCTTCCTTTGTCCACACATGTCCTGCTCAGGACTTGAAGCTGCCAAGGAGAGCTTGATTGAAACTAGTTTGCCTGGGGTCAGGGTGACCGGGGAGAAGCTGTGTCTGACTCACAGCTCCTGGGGAAGGGAGGTTACAGGCCTGGCTGCCTGTTCTCCTGGCTCACACAGCTCATCAGGTCGAATTGCTCTGAATCTCTTCCTCCAAGCTTACAAACACAAGCCAGGCTGGGGAGTGCCACGCCACCCAGGCAGGGCCCAGACTGCTTTCAGAGATATAGAGGCCTCAGTGCTGCTGGGCAGCACAGGCCTGTGGCTGAGAGGTCTGGAGGAGAGAAGGGCAAGGGGAAAATAAAGGGGGGCTCAAGCATCAGCGTTGTTTCCTCAGGGGCGGCTTTGGAAGAAGGGATAGTACTAGGGCAGGGGGGCGTCCACTGTGGGGCCAATGGCCTAGATGAAGCCCCGGAGGGCTGGGTTGTGGGGGAGGGAGGGAGCAGCTGGGACACAGAGGTTATTTAGAGTTGGAATGGACTCCAAAGCCTATTAATCCATCTTATCATACATGGACCCATAGAGGGAAAGGGACCCATTGAAGGTCACACAGCTGAGAAATGCCAGAAACAGGACTTGAAGCCAACCCTTCTGACTCCAAACCCAGACCCCTTTCCATCGGCCCCAGCTGCTTCACGTGGCAAGAGTGGTAATAACTATAGTAGCTCTGGGTCTCTAGGCTTTAAGGGTTACCTTATGAGGGAGGCAGTGAAAGGAATAACATGCCCATTTTACAGAGTTGGAAACTGAGGTTCAGAGAAAGGTAATGGCCTGGCTAAGGTTACCCAGCTAGGAAGTCTCATAGCCAGCCTTCAATCCCAGATCACTTTTGTAAGAGTGTAAGGCTCTTCTTGCTTCTCAGGGCTTTTACTCCAAGGGTGGGTAGTAGGGGCAGGTCTGAGGAGCGGGCATCAGGGTGAAACAGCCTTGATTTGGAATCTTACTTGCACTAACTAGCCCTTCGACTCTGGGTAGGCTCTTGTCCCTCTCTGGGCCTCAATCTCCCTCTTGGTTAAATGGGTCTAACTACCTCCATGTGCAAACCCTTGGGAGGGTGAGGCTCCAATGAGAGAGTCAGTCAGCAAGTGTTTGTTAAGTGCTGACTTTGTGCTGTGCACTGTGTTAAGCACAGGGATGAAGGGTCTCCTCCAATTCTTATGGGGAAGCTGACCTACAGAAAAAGTGTATGCAAGGTCCATATCATGTGAATGGAAGATGATCCCAGGAGAAAGGTTCTAGCGGGAAGAGAAAACCTGGAAGGAGGTGGGATGTGAGCTGAGTCTGAAGGAAGCCAGGCAAGGGAAAAGGCAGGGGTGGAGGGGAAGAGCATCCTAGGTATGCAGATGGCTGCTGCAAAAACATGAAGATGGGGACGGAGTGACCCATGTTTCTGCATCATGGTGGGGAGGAAAGTGTAAGAAGCCTGGACAGGTAGAGAGGGGTCTGCTTGTGAAGGGCTTTCAATGCCCAGCACTTTTTACTTGATCCTGGAGGTAATAAGGAGCCCATGGAGTTTAAGGAGCAGGGGAGTGACTTGGTCAGCCCTTGACTTTAGGAAAATCACTTTGGCAGCTGTGCTGGAGGACAGACTGAAGGCAGGAAGCCCAACCAGAAGGCTAAGCTGTGGTTCATGTGTGAGGTGATGAGGATTGGTACTCCTCATGACATTGTGAGTAGAAAGAAGGGTACACATAATAAGAGAATTGAAGGTAGCAAGGACAACCCTTTGGCAGTAGCTCAGGTAGATGAGGTGAGTGGGGGAGAGGAGACAAGTAGGAAACTGAGGTTCGGAACCTGGATGAATGGGAAGCTGGTGGTGCCTTTAGCGCTTCTAGAGGGAAATTGGGAAAAGGGCATTTTGAGGGGAAGATGAGTTCTGTGGGAACTTGCTGAATTTGAGAATGCCAATGGCTGCTGATGGGAAAGGACGAAGCCGGGAGGAGCCTTCCAGGGGTGTTCTGTGCCCTTCTCTGACCTCCCCCAGGCAGAGCTGGATGGGACAGGCTTAATGGAGTCAGGCTGGACCGAGGCCCTGACATCACAGCTGAAGTCAGCAGTTACCATGGAGACCCAGAGGTGAATGGGCTGGGGGTGGGAGGGGCAGCCCTTAAGGTGCTCCTGGATTATCAAGTGAAATTAGATTTGTAAAGTACTTTGTAAACCATCAAGTATTACAGAAATGCTGGCTGCCCAAATTCTTCTTGTTGTGGTCGATGATTAATTGATAATGGCTATATATTTGCATAAGAACGAGGGCTGTGTGACCACATATGGGGGGGGGGTGCGTGGAAACCAAGGATGCTACTGCATTGCTGGCAGCTGAGCCTCCCGAGGCCTGGCCCTCTCTTCCTTGCTGAGGAGCCCCTCCTTCTGGATCCTTCTCCCCACCCCCAGCCCATTTTCAGAATAATTCGACTGCTGGGTCTGGATTCTGTCTGTGTTACTACCTATGGGACCAGTCACTTGCCCTCTCTGGGACTGTTTCCTCCTGTAAAATGAGAACTCAGTCTTCCTTTAAAGGTTCCTATAGATCTTGTGATCTCTTTCCTCCCCTATCCAGCCCCTCCCCCATAGGGAGCATTAGTCTAATGCCCTCATTTCACAGAAAAGGCTCAGAAGGAACGTGGCACAGTGCTACATCGAGTGGACCTAGGATGTGGCTTCAAGTCTTGCCTCTGAAGATCACTACCTCAATGATGACGGCTCTGAGCCTCCATTTCCTTATTCATGAAATTCGAGGCTTGGGCCAGCTACCTCCGAGCTCCCTCCTCTCCCTCTCCCTTGGGGTTCTGATTCTGAACACGAGAGGCCCCAGAAGAGTGACCCCAGCAATTCCTAGATATCCCTGTGATGGGCACTCCAGATACTGCCAGCTAAGGCAGGGCTGGGTGTCTGACGCTTGTGTGACCGTGACTCAGTCATTAAACCTTCTGTAACTCCCCGGGTGTGGGCGTGATAACACGTGCACCAACAGGGCAGCGTCTTGGGGAGGGAATTGCCTTGCCACCTTCGGAGCGGCACAAAAAAGGAAATATTGTTATTGACTATAAACCTCAGAGAGTCACTTTCCCTGTCTGAGCCTCAACTTCCTTCTCTGTGAAATGGAGACAAAGCGCTTGGGTCCTCGTAATTTTCCTTCTGGAGACGACAGGTCCTCAGAGCCAGGGCAGGGGATGTGAGAGAGGCCATCACAAGCATCTCCGCCCCAGCCCCACCCCCAGTCTTGGGCCTGAAATGACACCAGGCGAGGTTCATCTCTCCCCATCCCCGCGCGTTGCCTCTTGGGGCTTCCCCTTTCTGTAGGGGTCGGAGCCTAGATCACACGTGACGAAAAATGAAATCGGCTCCCTTCCTCATCGCCCACCGCCCGGTTTGGTTTCCCCTGCGTCTGCCAGGCGGGATTTTGCGCCCTGGCTGCCCCCAAGCCAGCCCTGCCCTCCCCCCATTCCCTGCTGGGCTCCCGCGGGGCTCCGGGCCCCCCTCTGTCTCCGCGCTCCGAACTCTCTCCTCTTTGTCAGCGGCCGCGTGCTCCCGCGCAATCAGAATGCCGGCACAATGGGATAACAGCGATGCTAACCCAACTGGGCCAGGGAGGCCGCGTCTGGCTCTCCAGAGCACAGGGAGGGCGCACGGTCGGGCAGGACGGGCTGTCCTCTTTACCCTCCCTGCTCGGCTGGGCGGGAGGGCGGCCTCAGCACCCCGCGGCGTTGCGGGGGCTCGGAGGCCCGCTCCGCATCCCCAGCTCCCATCGACCTACTGATTCACTAACAGAACCGAGAAATTCTGGGAGCGCACCCGGGTGAGAGGCCGCCCTTCTCCCGGACCCGAGCCGGCTCCTCTGCCCCCTCCGGGAGAAGGGGCTCTTCTCTAGATGAGACCCTGGCCTCGACCCAGGCGGCCTCCCAGGCTCCGTCCTTAAGAGTCCGCTTCAAAGCTAGAACCTTTCTCCTGGGATCATCTTCCATTCACATGATATGGACCTTGCATGCACTTTTTCTGCAGGTCAGCTTCCCCATAAGAATTGGAGGAGACCCTTCATCCCTGTGCTTAACACAGTGCACAGAACAAAGTCAGCACTTAACTTACATCAAGCTCTTCTCTTCCATTTTCAGGCACTCTCTCGAATCTCTGCCCCTGCCCTTCCCTCCCAGGGCCAGACCGCGTCCCCCTTCTCCGGCCCCCACCTGGTTCTGGGCCTCTTCAGCTCTCCCCTGGAGAGCTTTCCCTGCCTCACACCCGTCTCAGGATCAGGCATTCTCAGAGTTAGAAGCCACCCGCCACATCGTCCGGGCCAAGCCTTTGCTTGAAGCCCTTCAGTGATGCTGCTAAGCCTCCCGCTGGCTCCCAGGCAGTCCGCCCTCCTGGAGACATTGCCACGTGGTAGGCAGATTTTCCCCACGTCCAACCTGTCCAACTCCTCTGTATTTCCTATCCAATGGTCTTGCCGGAAGTCTTCCCCCTTTTGTGTCTTAGGGACCCCTACTCAGAATTATATTTTTTAATGCGTAAAATAAACGCACAGGATTGCCAAGAAAACTGATCATGTTGACATGCAGCTACCAAACCATCAAACAAACTGCCCAGGCCTCTTCTGACAAACCTCTCTGCTCTGGAGCAAGGCAAAGCCCCCCTAATTCTTCCCACCCCCAGCCCTTCAGATTCTTAAGGACAGCTAGGGTGAGGCTCCTAAGTCTCCTTTTAGGAAGAGAAAAAAAATGACTGTGCTTGCTTTTTTATTTGTTTGTTTGCTTTGGCCCTGGGAATTGAAGAAACTACCAATGTGAGCTGGAACCTTCCTGGTCTCTAGAGGTGCCTAGAGCTCTGAGTGTTTGCTCAGGGTCTCATGTGTGTCAGACTTGACCTGAACCCAGGTCTTCCTGGCTTTGAGGCTGGCTCCCTGTCGTCTGTGCCACACTGGCTCCCCCACTAGATACCTCTCAGCTCCTTCAGCCATTCCATGCCCAGCCTCGTTCTCCAGCTCCCTGCTCTCCTGGTTGCCCTCCTCTGTATCTGCCCCAGCTTGTTAAATTTTCCTAAAATGTGATACCTAGAACTGAACACATCTCTCCAGATGTGGAGCTGCTAAAGTGATCTTTCTAATACCCACATCTGCACAAAAGCTTTGATATTGCCCCTAGAAGAAGGTCCTAACCCCTTTGTCTGGTATTTGAGGTCCTCTATAGGCTGGCACCCCCTGACTGCCAACCTTATCTCACATTACTCCCTTGCACTTGCTCCAAACCAACAGGTCATGGGGCCTACTGAAGGGTTTTAAAGAGAGGGGCAACATGATGAGATCTCTTCATTAGAACACTGGTCTGGCCATAGAACCAAAGATGGAGTAGAGAGGGGAGAAGAGGCTAGGAGTCAGGAGACCTAAGGAGAGCCTATTGCAACAATCCAGGCTGGTGGGTCTTTAATATGGGTAGTGGAAATGGAGGCTAGAGGGAAAAGAATGGGTATGAGAGTGTGGAGGTACAAGTGACCAAAAAGGGAGGGGGATTTGTCAAACTATAGACCAAGGAGTTTGACTGTAATTCCTAGAGACATTCTAGAACACAAATTTAAAGGGATGGGTTGTATAAAATTAGAAAGGAAAGCAGCAGTCGCTAGAAGTTGGCCTGGATTCCTCAAGAACAATTGGTACCAGTCTGGTTTCTTTTCTTTTGTGTCAGAGTCATTTGATTGGCAGATCAGAGAGGATGATGGGGACAAGGATTTTGGCTGGCTTTCAGCAGATCATCAGACAGAATCTCTCATAATATTTTTTCAATGAAGATGGGGAGAGATGGGCTAGATGATAGCACAGTGATATGGATTCGGAATGAGGAAACAACCAGATTTGAACCTGCTGCCTTCAACAGTGCTCTGCCCATTTCCAAACCCAGTTGTCTGAGCTCTGGGCACCTTCCACCTGAACCTAGAACTCTACTCTGGAATACCCTGAGCCCTGACAGGTGAGCTTTTGCCTCAATCTACCTGGAACTTGGCCTCTGCATCACTTCTGAGCCACCATTTCCAAATCGTGACTCCCCACTCCCTCTTGCTAGCTTCCTTTTTATGTATTGTCTTCCCTCCATTAGAATGAAAGCTTTTTGAGGGTAGGAACTGTCTTGTCACTTGTATGTTATTCCCAGCCTGTAACATAGCATCTGAAGCAAAGTCAGCACTTAATAAATGCTTTACCATTCATTTACTCATTCACATAGCAGAATGACACTCAGAAAATGCTGATGTCCTAGGGGAGGGTGTGAACATCTGTACTTCACCCTGTTCTGTTTAATGGGCCAAATCCTCCACTGCCTAATATTCATTCTATGATTTGGATGAAAGGATAGACAGCAGGCTTAGAAAATTTGAAGGAGACACAAGGGTAGGAGGTATAGCTAGCTCCCACATGATAGAGCTAGAGTGGGAAAATGTCCTTGACAGCCTAGAACTTTGGGCCAAACCAGATTTACTAGAATTTAATGAGGACAAATGTAAAGTTCTCTTCTTGGATTCAAAAAGTCAACCTCAAAAATACAAGGCAGAGGAAGTGTGGCTAGAAGCAGTGGTTTGAGAAGAAAACAAATGGTTTGGTCGGGGGTGTACTGGTATATGTTTACCAAAAAAAAAAGGAAAAAAAAGCTTTTATGGGAAAAATGTACTTATAGCCCATTTTGAAGTTGATTCTGCATTTCTGACATTTTCTCTTAAGACTAGACAATCAACAAAACAGTCAGTCAGTCTGGGATTTGTAGCATTTACCCATTTCAAATGTGTAAATACTCCCACTGATGTTTCAATAACTGTCTCACCTGAGCCCCTCTAGCTGTCTCTGGCACACTTCTGGCTTTGGTGGTCCCCAAGTCCAAACATAACAGCCAAAAACTGAAATCAAACTGAGGCTGGTTTGTTTTTAGGCGATCGGGTTAAGTAAGTTGCCTGGGGTCACACAGCTAGCAAGTGTCTTACAGCTAGTAAGGTCCTCTCCTCCAGGGCTAGAGCTCTTACCCATCATGCCACTTAGCTGCCCCGTGCTGAGGCTATATTGAGGGAGGTCCAGTGTGCAGAAGGAAGGAAGAATCCCACTGTATGATGTTCTGATTAGAACACACATGGAGTATTGTAATTATTTCTGTGAAGCACAGTTCAGGAAGGATGGGGGATCATGGCTGTGTCCAATAAGCAAAGGATGATCAGATGGGAACTTGCTCTTGGAAGGAGCATCCCCTCCCATCATGGAGAGCTTTAAGCAGAGGTGGGACTTTGGGGTGGGGGTTGACCCTTTTCCAGAGATTTTACACAGATGGTGGGTGGTTTGTCCCCAAATTGGGGCAAGGGTGTGATCAGCTTTGCTTGCCTCAGTGTCTGGCTTCTTGTTGCTGTCGTCACCCACAGACACTCCAAACAGATGGACGAGGGGCCCAAAAGAATGCGTATATTGTCATGGTTAGGCTGTGTTTCTTTATCACGAAGCTCTCCATTTGTGTGCCCCGGGGGATATTTCTGTGGTCATTTGTCATTGGCCATCTGCTGGAATGCTGGCATTTTGGGGAGTAGCTGATGTCCCTTTAAGGTTGGCAAAGCACCTCTTTTCATTATCTCCTGGGAGCCTCACCAAGATGAGGTCTATATGGCCACTATTATTTGCCTGGCATTTGGGAGTGGGTTGATAAGGGATCCAGACCCCTGATTTTAGTGCAGGGAACTCCCAGTAAAGAAATTCTCTCTACCAATGCAGACCCACAGAAGTCCTATGATTTGTACTTCAACAGAATTGTTTGGGGTGCTGAGACTTAACCAATATGTACCAGAGTGGAGATTTGAACCCAGAACTTCCTGGCTCTGCATCCTCTATCCACTAGGCAATGCTGTTTTTCACTTGGTAAGCTCCCTAGACCCTAAAATATTCATAGCAAGACTTTTTGTGGTAGCAAGAAACTAGAAACAAAGGAGATGCCCATTGATTGGGAATGGCTAAACAAACTGGAATGTTTTGGAATATTAGCATGCTGTAAGAAACAATACTTATGATGAATACAGAGCAGCAGGGGAAGGAGACTTCTCTGTACTAATGCAAAGTGAAGAAAGCAGAACCAGGAGAATAATATGAACAATAACTACAGAAATGTCAAGGGGAAGAAACAATCACCCAATGATCAAAACAGAATGATATGAAAGTATAACACCCAAGCTTGGTCCCAAAGAAGGGATTCAGGGAAGCATCTCCCTCTAAGGACCCGGCTGTTTAATACTTCATGCAACATAAGATTTGGGGATATGTTGGCAAGTTTTATGGGACATTTTTCCTTTCTATTTTAAAAATTCCTTACGATCAAGAAAGGGTTTAGTCTAACAGGGCCAGGGCAGGGTTGCTATAAAGGGAAATGTAGGTGATGTAAAAACAAAAGGGATCCATAAAAATTTATTTACTAAAATAAATGCATTTGGAATGGAATTCCTCATTTTATAGATGGAGAAACTGCAGGTTAGAGAGGGTAAGTGATTTGCTCAAACAGGTAGTAGGTGGCAGAGCCGGGAAACCCCATCTCGCTCATCCTCTGATCCTAAAGCCAACATCTCTTTTCTGCGTGACACACGCGAACCCAAGTGTTTTCTGATTCTGGGTCACAGTATTTACCAGCAGTTCGAGAGAGAGAGAGAGAGAGAGAGAGAGAGAGAGAGAGAGAGAGAGAGAGAGAGAGAGAGAGAGAAAGTGTGCATCCTCCCAGGCGTTGTCTCCTCCCTCGGGGGGGGGGGGTCCTCCCTCTGGGAAGGTGAGTGTTGGGCCAGGTGGGGCCTGCAGAGGGTGCCCTTGCTCCTCTGCGGCTACTCCCTAGCAGAGGTTGTCTGAGGTCACCCAGAACACCCTAGGAGAAGGAAGGAAGACGCTGAGGGTTTGTCCGTCGAGAGTATGCTGGGGAGGAAGCCAGGAAGGAAGGGAAAATGAAACGATGCAGCTGAGGGGCCTAAGAGACGAGCCTCGGGACCCTGCTGGTGAAGGTGGGGGAAGGAATTGGGGAGGGGAGCGGGGGAGGGGAAGGGGGGAAGGGCGAGAGGAAATCTTGTCTCAAGTGTCTGAAGGGCTGCAGCGGGACAGGGATCGATCGCACTTGTTTTGTTTGGCCCCAGAGGGAAGAACCAGGAGCAGCTTGAGGCCTGGTGGCCGGAACAGCTTTCTAATAATTAGTGCTGCCCAAAGGTGAAATGGGAGGGAGGGAGTTCACCATCATGGGAGGTCAAACGCTGCGAGACCACTTGTGCCGCAGAAGGCCCCTTCTCCCGTTAGGGTCGCGAGGCAGGGATCATCAAGGTGCTGATCATCAGCACCTTCCTGTCGGGGCTGCGCCCATCCCTTGCCGGCTCTGCTTTCTGTCTGGCTCCGCGCATAGTAAGAGGAGCATTGAAGGTAGGGTGGTGAACAGGGCAAGCCCTCATTAGGCGCTAGGTCTTTAACTGCGGGGGGCTAGGAGTGGGTTTACTTCCCCTGGGGCTCCGTAAAGTCACGGGTGGGATCACTGGACTGGGTGCGAAGGGCAGGACTCTTTCTATCCTCGTGTACCCATTCTGGACGTCTCCTTCCCCTTCTGTCTTCTCTTTCTTTTTCTCCTCCCTCCTTTCCTCCTTCTCGTCTTTCTTCCCTGTGGCTGGCACTGCCGGGCACCGGGAGAGAGGCCATTCCAGCTGCAGGGGTGGGCGCCCAAGCATGGCCTGCTTATCGGCACCTGGAAAAGTGGAGGGGTTGTCACTGTTTGGCCATTGTCCTTCCACACACTGGGTCCAGCCGGCTGCTCTCTTCGGCCAATCGGCCCCTCAGTGTACCGGCCAACTGGGATTGACTGTGCCGGCTCCTGGGCGAAGGCCACGTTTTGGGCTGGGCATCTGGAGCCAGGCGCAGCTGGGGTCTCTGGCCTTGGGAATTAAAAACACTTTCCTCAAGTGTCCCATGAGAAAGGGAGTACAAAGGTCCTGCCTTGACCAAGCAGAGAACCGAGGCTCAGCCTGGTCAGACAGCTAGGAAACACCACACACTCAGGCCTCCTGACTGCCCCGTGCAGATGCTCAGTCAGCTGGGCTGGGCGTGTGGAATCCCTCGCTGTCAGTCGGCAGCATGCTTGGGGTATCAGGTGACCTCGGCCCAAAGCTCAGAGCCTCCCAACAAGGTACAAACCGTCCTTGGACGCCTTCTCCTGGACTAGGCCTGACTCTGCTACTCATTACCTCGGTGACCTTATGCAAATCACAGTTTCCTTCTTTGTGAATGAATGAAAAATGTTGGATTAAGCCTTTACTACATGCCAGGCATCACCATGAACCTTGGGGATAGGAGGACAAAAGTGTGAGGCTTCCTGGCCTCAGGGAGCTTGCATTCTAATGGGAGAGACTACACACTGGAGGAGTGACAGCCAGGGCTGGGGTGTGCTGTGGACTGGGAAATGTCACTGTGGTGCCTCTTTCCCTTCTGCCTGGAGTAAGGAAGGAGGAATGAATGTCAGATGCCTGGCGAGCATGAAGGTCATAGTATGAAGAAACGCCAGATTGCACAGTTCTATTTATTGTAATTACATTTTCTAGTGGGATTATGACTCCATGAGTTGTGAGTAAGGAATGATTTCAAGATGTCGTCCCAGGACTGTCAGATTCGGAAAAGAGTCAGGTCCTCAGGGAGAGAAAGGGATGACTGCTCGGCAGGGCAGGCTCCCCCATGCCAAGGGGGAGGAAAGGCCAATCGGAAAGTGACCAGAGCTGGCCTTGTGCCCGGGGAGGACACTTGTGTGGGTGGAGATGGGGGGTGCTGGCCACCAGGAGCACAGAGGGATGGGAAGCCCAGCTCCCCTGTTCAGGTGGGGCCTCATCCCCACCCCCAGGCGCAATCAGAGATCCTTGGAGTTTTGAGGGAAGGGAGGGAAGCCAACTGTGTCCTAGACTCACGGTTTGTGGGTGATCTTTAAGCACAAACCTATTGTAACCTCTGCAAGATGATTCCACAAGGGACCTTGGTGTCCACGGTGGGGCCACTGAGCTTGTGATTGAATTCTAAGCAGACTGGAAAACACCGCCCTTTGCTAATGTAATCGCCAGGCAGCTTTCATCCCGAGAGAGCATCTAATCCAATGAGCAGCCTAATGCCACTTTGGTGGGGGTAGGGGTGGGGGTGGGGGTGCGTGTGCTGGGGC